GGAGAGGTCTATAAACAAATAAAGGGGACCCCGATGGGATCACCAGTATCAGGTCTGATCGCTGAGATCGTCATGCAAAAGTTGGAAGAAGCTTTACTGCCAACTATTAACGCGAAGTTGTGGGTACGTTATGTCGACGATACGTTTGTAACATTCAAATGCAGTGAAGTAGCACTCGCACACCAATTACTCAACAGTGGTTTGAATGGGATTCGGTTTACGATGGAGTTAGGGGCAGAAAATAAGCTCCTATTCTTGGATGTATTAGTGACCAGAACAAAGGACGGTGAATTTCAAACATCCGTTTCCAGGAAAGGCACACATGCGGGCTAAATTTTGTACTTCTACAGCAACCACCTAAAATGCCACAAAATAAGCTGCGTACGGACGCTATTTCGCAGGATTGAAAAACACTGCACTACAGCGGAAACCAAACGGGAAGAAGAATAACACCTATTCACTTCGTTTGAGCGCAATGGATACCCAAGCAGCTTCATTCGCATATGTCTAAAATACAAGCCTACAAACACCCAACCGATGCCAAATGCAAGCAAGAGGATTGTTTTGCCATGCATGAAGAACATGTTTGAAATAACTGCTAGATTGCTCAAACAACACCGCATCGTGGTTGCTCGCAAGCCAACCGCTACTTTGAGAAGAATACGGTCCAACCCAAAGAACAACCGGAAAGCACAAGAACGAACAAACGTCGTGTATAAAATACATTGCAATAATTGTAAAATTATCTATTTGGGACAGACAGGAAGGAAACTATCCCCCAGGATACAAGAACATCAGAGGGACTGTACAAACATTATGCATCGTTTCTTGTCTCAGCGCATGTGGATGAGGAGGGACACAACTTCAATTGGAACAAAACAGAGATTTTAGCTCAAGCGGCAACACAGAAAGGAAGAGAATTCCTAGACGCATGACACTTCTGCAATAAATCGATCAACGTGCACGTGACATCGATTCCATGTACCAACAGCTCAGCAAAAATGATCTCCGGCAAAAATAGAAAGCCATGATTCAGCCGCCATAGAGAATGGGCAGAGATCACGAGGTGCAAATCGAAATTTCCACTTTCAAAAGTCACCTGCCCGTCGATCACCGACGGACCATTCAATAAGCAGGATTTTAAACTGCACATCACCGCACTGACGATGCCACCTCGCATGGTGGCGAAACGGATGTAGTCATTTTACCAAGCTCGGAGTACCGATGAACAGGTGACCAATTCACTGCCAATTAGCATCACCATAATTAGGAGACTTTCTCCTCGTCAAATACATATGCCACCTCCTTCCGTCCAGACATTTTCCTTCGCGAGACTGTCTTGATCGATTGATCATCTTTCTGATTGCAAATGTACTGCACAGGAATCGTCACTAATGTGTTCTCTTCTTTCACGCTCACTTTTTTTACCACTGAGCCAAGGTGTTACTAATGGACCGAAGCCCGCCTACACTGACGACTTAGAGAAAGGCTATTAGTGATGTATCTATCGGTGTGGGTGCGTTTTCGCCCAGCAGTGCACCATACTTTGGGTCATGATGCGCGTTGGGCATTCCCACTTCGCTCCCCTCAGCTGATTACAACCGTGAACACGTTAAGTGTTTCCGTTTTCCTTTGCCCATGCGATATGTATCGCTTGACCACTCCAGTCTTTCGAATTCTCGGCCTTGCTCATTCGTCAACATGTACCTATCCTCGCGTTGTTGTTGTTTTTTCTCTTGGATATCCTGAAGCATGCAATTTGCATCTACCCAGCCCTTTTCATCTTTCCTCAATCTCCACTTGACTCATTTGACAAAGTATTGCTTAACTGCGGTCCAATACAGCAAACATCGTGCAGATTAAACCTATTTTGCCGAGCTAAGGACACGGCTGAGTTCGTGTTTCTGATGCTTCCTCTTCCACTGGGATACGACCTACTTCATTTCCTGCTCATTCCACAACAGTTTGGCCCCTGTGTAGGACTTGCAGAGTTGCGATATTCGATCAGCTGAACTTGCTACTCTTGACTAATGTGTTGACAACTGTGACGCGCAACAGAAACGCGTGTGCCAGGCATTTTAACGATCGAAGGACTCTATCTTGCTTGAAACACTCACTGTGGCCACTACATATAGCTACACTCAAACTGTGACACGCTGTGAAGTCGACCTGTGCGCGCAGTCGATCCCCTCCTCTTTCTCACATCATCCTTCTGATCTTTGTTCATAATTTTCACGTTGTAAACTGCCCACTTGAAATTCGGACCGATCATAGGATGTTATGTTGCATGCCGGTAGAGGTGGAATCAACGGCGTAATAAATAGACATAGATATAGAGCCAAACATAACCTTGAAATTTAACGATTGACATGTGGAATCGCCGCAGCATCATCATTAGCTGAAAGTGAGCAGCTTTTGTGCTGCAAGAGGAACGGAACCTTTTTTGTTATTTTTCACATGCCATTTTTGGTTATTTCCATTTTTTAATTGTTAGGCTTTAAATACCTGAGTCTAAACAAGTGTGTACACAGCTCTTCCACTGCTTTCGGTTGCACGCCAAATTCTGAATTGTTTCGAGCCATCAGCACTCTTCGTTCTTAGGTACCCAACCAAGCAGGTAAGATGTGAAGTCAATGATTTCATATGCTGTCGCTAGGTGAATGGTTGACCACCACGTGGTCTCTTTCAGTCGAGTCTTGCACGAGCGAACAAGGCGTGATAGCGCAAACGCTCAGCTGACATACGCAGGACGTAGCCGGGCCATCTTAAATGACGCAGTAAAACCAACTTGTATAATGGAAAACTCGCATTCCCCAAGACACGATGTCTGACTTCACCGTTGCATGCCGGTAAACCCAGCTTTAAGCATAACTTTGACTCACCTTTACTAACCGACTGCCGAAGATCAGTTGACTAATCGAAGACATTTACATCATCAAGAAAACTAGTTATGATCGTCGGTTAGATCCGCTTGATTTCTCGAATCCTTAGTCATGGGTGAAGGCACAACGGATCAGAGGCTTCTAGGTCTGGGAATCGGACATACAGCACCGTGGCGTCATCACGCATTGCTTACGCAATGGGATAGGTCTTCACTAGTGTCTGCGTAAGCCATCTTACATGTGACGGAACCGCTGAGGGATCAATGGGGATATGCGGCATTTGGTGTTTGGAAACCTTCACAGGCGTTTCTCGTGCGAAATTACGAATAAACCGAATTCATCATATTATTGTTATTGTCGCTCTTATTATTACAGTTCTCGTTCCTGTTATTATCCTGTTCTATTAATGGCTATATAGCCTGCTGCTTACCATGGTGCATCAGCAGCTCCTACTATCGACCTCTCTCTTCTTGCTGTGAGCCATTTCACTTCGCACTTGCATCTTTTTCTTTTTATCAACTGTTCTGATTTCGTTTGTGACTATCTTTCTTCCTTTACATTTTATACTTCTTGGTAATGGGAATCACCGACTGCGTTCAATGTTCTTTTGCTCTCACTATGTGTGTACCTGAAATGAATTACTTTCATTCGAATTTTCACGTTTCACGTAAATACTTTACTGTCGCCATTTTTGCCGATGATTACGCCACGGGCCCACCTAGGGTTGCGCTCTTGACCCAGTTAAAGACTTGTTCGAATCGAACTTGGTACTTTCTCTCTAATCAATGTCTTCGAGGGCATTCTGCCACTGCTGTGACAGATACATCAGCAGGGTATCCGTTCGGATTCTTTGATGTCGTTGTGCACGTTATTTACCACAGCATCTCTTTGTTGCATAACTTTTGACGCTCGTGTTGCTCAATATCCTTGTGATCAAGACTTCAACCATCAAATGTTGCGTGCCGCATCCTTCTTCCTCTGTCTCTACCTGAAGAGTAATAATATGGACGGAGTCCGGTTATGGAGTACAATGTTGTACGAAAAGAACTTTGAAACTTAACTTTCTGAGTCGTTCTTCCTACATATTCCCAGTTGCGGTAGTCCTGTCATCGAATCCCCCTCTAGGTAGAGACACTAGTTCTTCCGCATATACTACTCGCTCACGTATTTCTTACTTAGTTGCACTAGGCGTATGCAGCTTCATTCCTTGCAACGGTCACGGATGAATCCGACTGCACCACATGATATATAGACAACTCGATTCAATTGCATTGTCTTTCCATTATCACAAAATTTATCTATTACTGCACAGCTGCTGTCTGCGGTACTTTTCCACTTCGCGCGAACTTTCTATCCTGATTCGATTAAACCGCTTCTCCACTGCCGCCTTGTTTATTACCGTGGATCTGAGGGTTTACCTTTTTAGCCTGAATACATGTCGGCTGGCAGCTGTGGCCTTTCACATCAAATCATTCATTTAGCGTCTTCAGACATCTAGCCAGACTACTAGCTTAATGTGGCTGTCTGTGGTCTTCCACATCTCGTCTATGCTAGTGACCGACTGTGCAGCAACTGCCAGATTCACTAAACTTGTATGTTTCAGACAATTGCAAGTCAGCATACCCTGCTGCTTACGGTTTGCTTGGTCATTGATGATCGCAAGCGTCTAGTCTCTTCGTATGTGCGCATCATGTGAGAATCATTCATCGTTATTATCATCCGCTTGAGCGTATGCACATCCTCGATTTCCGGACGCAATTCGCGTTGTGACTTATCGGTCTGGTTCTATTTTCTCGTCAATTGGGGTTCATTTTTCCCGGACAACCTAATGTACATCTGTTTCGTTTCACAGACATCCCAGATGAAGATTTATTGCAATTGCCGTTTAGCCTCGACTACCAGCCATTCTTCTACCAATGCTTACGCAAAAGTGCTGTGCACAAATAGTTGTGCGGCGTTCATACCTGCATTACAGTGACACGACGCAGACAAAGTCCACTTTATCCTCCTTATTCGTTTCATTAGTAGTATGACAATGCGCTTGGTTGTCTTTGTTCGACTCTCCACCACGTCGGTCACATCCATGTGTCTGTTGCCTCTACCGCATTCCCCCTGTAGTATACACACTGATCACCCGACGTCGGTTCTCGCAAATGGCGGTGTTAGAAGGCCAAAACATATTGGTTACCATATCTGGCCGTAAGCACCGGCTCCGTGTCTACTATCTCTCTTGGCTCCGAAGTAAAATCATGAAAACCGAGGGGGTGAGTTTTTTCGTTACTCTGTTTGCCACCTGTTCCCTTACTCTGCCATTGTCTGTTTGCAATCGAATTTGCGATGAAACAGATTGTAATATGGACGATTTCTGTTGCCGATTGCGTTCTTGCACCACATGCGACCGTGCGAAAACTGGTGGCCACTTGGTTCGATTTTAATGCTCGTCGGCTGACAATCTGCACTCGTTCCTTTGTCTTCCCATCAGCTTTTGTGCACATTGGTAGGAATGTTAACTGTTGTTTCTGATCTCGTTACACATCTCACGTGAATTTTCTAGACTGTTGTTCACGTGTCACATTTGCGCGGACTCCATCTGTGGTCCTTCAAATCGTTCCATCCATGTGTTCGTGCTTTTTTGTTGTAGTTGCTAGGGTTCAGTTTTGTTTTCAGTTTCCTTCCATCCACCCTAACGGCGAATTATTTTTTTTCACATTTGTCATTCATCTATTTCACTGAACTCCTCACGTACGGAAGGTATAGAAAGTCTCTGCATTTATGCTGGGAGTATGCACAACTGGTTTGTTCCATCTACGTTACAAGAGGATGGATTCGGGTTGCGATCCCCCAATGTGAACTTTAACCCTTTGTGTTCTGGCGGTGCTTATAAATACCACTTTGTTTAAATTGTAATACTGCTTCAGTGCAAGCGTCATTCCTGTCGGTACTCGCGAGGATATAAGTACAATAGACTTCTGTCAACAAATAAGTGAGGGCCACCTCCGATACTTTTCTCTACAGTGTGTGAGGTAAACTTTTGTGGTTCAAGTCGAGCTCTAGGTAGACTAATTCAGGACTCACAGGGTTAATTGGAAAGGGCTTTTTCTTTTTCCCCGTTGCCATCCACGACAATACTTTGACATTTCCACACTGCTCTTCTTCCCTTCAAGACCTTCGCGATGAGTCACGTTGGACCATAGTTTATGTATTTTCTTAAAGGGGATTTTTCCATATTGATCTCTGGATCACTTACGATGCTGGTAGTGCTTGCTTATCTAACGATTTTCCTTGATTTTCGTGCAACATCTCATTCGATACAATGCTTCCGCCATTGCACGTTCCTTGCGTATTTTCATGGTTTCACCAGACAGCAAATCCAGATGAATGATATAGAATCCAATACGGTCAGTGCGCTTTTATAATTTACACAGTGACATGCCCTAATCTTAGGCTCTTTACCTTTCTCATCAACTTACAAACGTTTGCAAAGTGGTTGATTATCGGCTTTATCAATGCCTACGGATGCTCTCTGCTTCCTCGTGTGGGACTGTTCACCACTGATGTTGATGTCACTCCCATACTAGGTCACGAGCATCTCTAGGCTATATGAATGCTGCGTCAAATATACCAGGACCAAATCTCCAGACTCCCACTTATCAGATGTTCCGTTTGTGGTGTCAGCAAACAACATCTTGTCTCTTGCACTTTGACGTTTGTTTTATTCTACTTCAACAGTTGCAGAAGTACGAACGCGATCAATGTTACTCATATGGACTGGTTCACGATACTGTCTCTCGATTGACGACTCGCCATTCTCATTTCGTTATGCTCCCCCCCCCGAAACACCTCATATGTTCTGAGCTTTCACTTAATCGCAGTACATCGCCTTCAGACCATCTCTGGGTCAATTGTGCTGCAGCCGAAGCTTTTCTCAGACTGAGACGCCTTCACCGAACAGCCCCATTTTGCCACCACACTTCTTGTCAGCTCGTGAAGTCCCACGTCACTAATCGATTTCATTTTCAGCACACTCACATCTGCTAGTGTGCAGCGGCCAGTCTGTTTATTACGAACGACAGGAGCGGTCTTTTGGGCGACAACTATTCACAATCAACGTTCTTAACCCCCACGAGCCATGCGGTTGAAATTAGCTAGCTTAACCCTATCTGATAGCGATCGCCCTTTCTTCCGATTACCGCTATCTTACGTTTGAAAGTCCATTTGACAACTCATTGCGGACGCTCATCTGATTGTAAGCATATTTTTTTATTTAATGGCTCCTGCCCAAAGCCTTCCTTGTTTTCACTGTGCCTTCAGTGATTATGCACATGGCAGCTTAATTGGACCTATTATTTTGATACTGTCTGCTATCACCCGACATCACACGGACTCGGTCACCTAGCTGACGGAGGATCGAATTTTTCATTTCTGGTTTGGTTTCCTCATCATCTTATCTCTTTTCTGTCAAAAATTCCTAACATTACCTCGTAATTGTTTCTTAGGTTACAATGTTATAACTTTTTCATTGCGTCACGCGTCCGACGGCACATGTCTTATTGGTTTGCTATCCGGCTTTTGACCCTTGTTTTCTAGCCCGAGTCCTCGCTGCTGCTTGGGTTCTGGTTGCTCTGAAACCTCTCATTCCGCATCTGGTCGTTCGCGGCCGAATGAGAGTGAATTAACATCAGAAAGTACCAGTGGGCTACTTTTAGTGAAGGCAGTTCAGCGCCAGATGTGAGCGGAATTCGCAAAAACTGCCTTCGTCTCAAGCATCCACCATCTGCTTTCGACTAATTTTTTTTCATCGCAACCTCTGCATTTCCTAAAAATTTTCAAGCGGAAACAAAACGTTTGCACTCAATTACAAGATGAATATCGATCACTCTCGGTGGGTTACCATCTGCATCGTAACTGGCGGCGTATTCCAAGCTGTCGCTTCAACTTAACCCCCTCCCACTCTCACGAAGCCGCTTGGATTATATCACTGGATCAGCGTTTCGCACATACCAGCCACACTGCATTACACCCGGCTGCATACACCTCAGTGTTCAAACTAGGTTTTTTGAATACCGGTCGTGTGTTCAGAATACGACACGCATTCTATTTTGGAACTTTTGTTCACTTTGAACTTTACGTCGGTCACTCCAGTCACTGGAGCTGTACCCGAAGTCGAGAATTTTCATTGTGGTCCAATCCGAGCACTGCACCCCACGATCGGATCGCCTTTGTCTTGTCTCACCATTTTGAGATGGTTGGAGCTGAAAGTGTAAGTGGTGTCCGACGATCTTGGACGATCATTCAACATTTAACGCATTGGCTATATGGCCGACTAAATACAGTAGCTGGAGAGCTTCCGATCCGTTTGAGGAAAACAAGTACAAGACTACTTAACGGCCAGATCGATAGACTTTGCGTGTCCACTCTTTATGGGACATTCTTCTTAGTTCTCACATTACTTGAGTCAGTTTTGTTCCCCGCGCCTTCCTCGTTCCGCGTTGTTGCTTCACTGGCTTCAACGAATTCTGGATTAGATGCATCTGTCTGTAGACTTCGGTTCTGTTCGGCCACCATGATTCGGAATCGTTTACCATTCCATTCACTTCCGTCCCATTTATCTCACGTGTTTTTGTACACGGTGTCTACTGTTTGTTTAAGTCAACTCGCACATTCAGCTGGACACTACATTAGTTATCACTAGGCGTTTGACATGATCCGACACATCATTTCAACCAGTCACTGAGTTTCCACCGATAATTTTCGCATGACCGAACCGCTACGACTGCCATTCATTGTTCTTTATTAAACGCTCTGTAGGTGACTTCACACGTCTCGTACTACGACCTCCAAACATTGCGTTATACGGTATGTAACCCCGGGTATTTGTCCGCAACATGACATTAATCCTCGCAGAATTGGCACTGCATTGTTCGCTCACACGCCATCGCTGTTTCTCACTATGTGTCACTGATGCTACCACGTCCTGCTGTGATTTTTTCCCCTCACCTCATAGTCACGTTCATTGCCTCGGTATTTATCTGGGGTGGGAGACATCGGCTCCGCAAATTTCACACACCGGTTGGTTGGATTGTACCACGTTTTTCGCGCGCCATAGCCACTTGGCAAATGATATCCCGAATACAATTAGGTCTATTCCTCTCTCCCTAAGTATACTCTTAAGCATTACGGCTACTTCTCAACCGCAAAACTTAGGCATCACACATTCCCAACGCACGACTTGGATGTTTTGCACATATTTGGCCGGTCTAGCGTGCTACTTTGAGTGACACCCCACTGGCTGACCCCGTCCGTCACGTTGATGCTGTATACACGTTTGGTTTACACTTTCCGTGACACATTCGCTGTTGGGGCTTCCTTGCACCATTTGTTTACACGACCTGATTCTGTGAATTGATCGACACACTCAGTGGAGACTGTGATTTTGGAATCCACGCAACAAGCTATCTGACTGTATAGTAGCCCCGTCCCTGATTACGGAATGTGTATATGACGCCATTTGCTGGCAGCGATCACCGATCCTCTCTCGATATAAGGTGGTGGTGCATGTGCCAACATGCTGTCTTAGTAGCATTGTGTGTGTGTGTGTGTGAGTGTATATGTATCGGCGTTTTACTTTTCGACCTCTACTATGTGATCTTGTTGTATGATGCCTATGCGATAGAATCATGTATCACACCACTCAACTGGAAAGTTAAGACCATCATGGTTCCGATTCACTCCCACTGACTTTTTACCGTGACGCCTTCTCTGCCCAGCTCGCGCTCCCTGTAGGCGACCATAAGTCTCCCTCAGTTTCTAGCAGTCGCAGTTCGAACGTATGAAGGTAAAGTCTTCATCAGGCTACTTGGTGTGTATTTAAGTGTGCACTGTTTTTGCGTCGGCATTCAGTAGTTACATTTAATTTTTTATGCTTTATAGTCCCCATGCACTTACACCTTTTGATCGCCATGACACGCTGTGTACCGACTTGCAGAACCAGCCTACTGGTCCCTAACCACCAAGAGTATGTGCCACATTTATCTCCTGTCTCTCCACAGATCTCTCTAAGACTATTTTATACACATTATGGGTTTTAATCTTGCATTCTTACATTAGGAAACACCATATTCCATTTTTTGCGCAAAGTTTCTTTTGATAAGCGTACCGCTCTTCGCGTTTCGCGCTTCATCCTAATCCTCTCCACCTTCATCTCTTCACGCTTGAATGACTTCCTTTTTTATGTTGCAACCTGTCATTGATGACAGCTGGTTCA